CATTGATCTGTCTCCTCAATAAATTATTTTGTCACTAGTTGAGATCAGACAAGCCTCGTAAGTGGATTATTGATGTTCCATGATAGATATAATAAAAATAGGAGTTTCAGGGGGAAAATTGTTAGTTGGTAAGAATATATCACTTCTACATACATTATTCAAACCGTACACATACTTTGACTTTTAACAACTGAAATCTATAGGTTTGCATTTTTATTGCCTCAATAATGTGAGGATAATTGAGGAGGAGGCCATTAATCATGTAAAAAGGATACTGCTTAGAAACGAATGCTAGACAGATTATTTATTCGCTGGCTCCTTTTTTCCTGACTGGTTTCCAGGCAGGGTAACAAGTTCACATTAATTTTGATTTAGCTCCCTCTGTGCAATCTCAGTGTCGCCTGGCCTCTATATATTGCTGTTTGTAAGTGATCTGAGCAGTAATGTTAAGGATTGCTGATGCTCCTGAAATTAAATATCTTGCTGGACTCTCTCTCACCTGTCACCAATAAACACTTTATTGTTAAGAACTTTTGTGCAATGTTCATCAATGACCTTGTGAACTTCAATTTGTTTAACTTGTTCCTTGCAAACAAGCTCCACTCGTTAGGCAAATGACAAGACCTGTAGCTATTTTTCAGACCTGAAGGGTTAAACAATATGTGTCTACTTTCTAATTACTTTGGGGAATTTGATTCTCTGAGGTAGCACAGCTTCTTATCAAACTACAATTCACCTCATTTGGCTAGTTCCAACAGCAAGTGCCAGCAGACAGCGCCCGACCTTGGCCTGACATTAAACTAACCGATCCAATGTCTTAGCAGCCCAGACCGAATAGCACAGTAAATATTAGAGGCTAAGATGATGTCACAAAATAAAGAGACTTGAAATGCCCTCCCAACACAAATAAAGACATGCATTGCTTGCATTTATATCTCTGGGAGAAACTTCCACATAGTCATTGTTAAAATAAAATTGGTAAATCTCTTTCTATATATATATATGAAAAATATAAATTTGTATATATATGATTTATATAATTTCATATAAATCAATGTATAACAAGCAGTGTGCCACAATGACCCAATATTATCATTAATTTAATTAAACACCATGTTGCCATGCAAACTGACAGTGTGACCTACTTTTTGATTTATTTCCTAAATAATTTTATGATTACTTGTGGGGTCCTCAGAGAGCTGACATTGAATTGCCAGACAGTCAGTAGATTTTAATTGTGGGGGGAAAAAATCAGACTGTCATGCCAAATGTAACATAAATTTGCTTTACTCTCTGACACAGTTTAACACTGTGATCTTCACACCTTTGATCCCAATACACTGTAGTGCACACTATTCCACCTAGGAGCATATTAAAAGCAACACGCATACCTCAAAAACCCAACAGGATTTGTGATAAAATCTTGTTCATTTTCTCTCAATTAGATCTGTGTAATGTTTCTGGTACAGCAGCACGGACTGTAAGATAGAAAGAGTAGAAGTAGTAAATCAAAATCCTGATTTCTAACACTGTTTCGATAAAATGTGAAAATCGAAACAAATTCAAATCATTTAAACAAAGAGATCCAGAACGGTGACTATCATACAGCACTAAGTACATCCTTCATTTGTCAAGATGTTTAATTCAAGACATTTGTAAGATATTATAATATGAATAAGATTGGTGTATGTCTTCTGTTAGCAGCTTACTGAGAAAGAGAAGTATTACATTCAGCATGATAGTCAATATCTGCTCAATGACGAAGTTGTTTTCAAGGGTAGTTCAAGATTATTGTGCTCATGCATGCAGGCTGATGGAGATTTAGCAGATGTCTGGACATCTGAATCCTCACTAAAGAAAAACTAGCAACTCTATAAGAAAGAAAACCCTGCACACATGCAAGAAAACATATGAAAAAATGAAAATTAAATTCAAAAGCCTGTGTGGTTTTTTTTTCAGGAGAAAGGCTACATTTACAGGTAAGGCACTATTGTCACACAGACCATTCTCAAACATTATTGATTGAGAAGCGTTTTTTTTTCTGACTTTGGATGGATCTACCTAAATAAATCCAGACAGAAAGCTGCTGAAATCTGACTTCTAGCTTGCAGCTTTAGGAAAATGCCACGTCTGAAGTTCAAGTGTCAAGTGGCTTGAGAGAGATTGTCGACAGATGATCAAATTTAAATCACATCCCCACAGACATGTAGAGATGGGCTGAATTTGTTCATGATCTGCACTGTGCCAACTATGCGAAACACTAAGAATACATATCGATCTGTTTAGCAGCACTTCTTCTTTTTGTTTTTCTGCGGTGAAGTTTTCTAACAGTCAATGCAACTATTCTGAAAGCAATTGTCGATCCTGAAATCTAATTACACTCAGTATTCTCACTACCTCCCACTATTTAGTTCTATGCCTTCAACAAACTCAAGCAGATAATTTCACGTCTTTGCACCAGGGCACCTGACAGCTAATAGAGCAACAGATTTATTTCATGGACCTACAATCAGCAGGTGATGCTTTTGAAATTTGGCCATAAGCAAAAGTGCAAGCTGTATTTGAAGACTTGCTTCACCACTTTGCCAAAAGTTACACATACAAACACACACACCCACAACATGAGCCCACAACACCCTCTGTCTCCAGACCGATACTGCACTAACCATCCTCAGGCCTGGCTTGGCTGGTGGTTTGATAAATTGGCCCTTTCATCGCATCAGTGTGAATTGTGTCAGTGGATTAGTGTGTGTTTGAATCTGGGAGTGAATAGATATGCATTTGTGTGTGTCTGCCTCGGTATATTGTCTAAGCTGCATAGTGTTTGGCTTCTTCACCGAGTGCTGCTGTCACAGCCCCTGAAAGCGTATAATAACCGCCCATTCTCTCGGCATGAATGCACATCCATACACAAGCGCAAAAAAATGTGGCATTTCAAAACGACCGGGATAATCGAACTGAAGAAAATTATAAAAAGTGGCATGGCGATGTCATTCTCTTCAGCTAAGCTCTAAATTTGGTGAACATGACTGCTTTACAAACTGGATGCAAATCAAGTTGAATTTATGCCATTATTTGATATATGTGGCTCTCAAAAGTCTTCAGTGACTAAATTTTTTTCTTCTGAAAAAGACAGATTGTTCAAAAAATTTGGTGCATAAGTGAACTCTCCCTTAAAATAGCACGTTGCTTTAACACCTTCTGACTTAATTTCAGCATTCAGTCTTTTCTAGTTCACACCTTCTACATGCTGAACTTGATGAACAGAAAATGAAGTTCATCTGTCCTGGTTGGGTGGTCCTAACACTTGTCATAGTAATACATTTTATTTACAAGCGCCATTCAGGACACTCAAGGTCATTTTACAACAAAGCAAACAAAAAAAAATAGAAGAAACATAAAGTAGAAAATAAGAATAGTTAAAATGAACAGAGTGCATGCTGTAGTAGGAGAGTTTAAGAAAAGAAGAGGGTCAGTTTTGTGCATTTGTTTGTAAGGGGTTACAGATTTGCTTCTCAACAGCCAAGTAAAGTATCCCCAGTTTTCTATGCATGAAACTGCGATTTTAATCAAGACGGAAGAAATGTTGAATAGTTCCAAGAATTGTTTCTCACCCAAAACTCTCAGTTGTCTGGTTTAAATGTGAAGATGGAGAGGAATTAAATATTTCAGCATTACTGTGAGTCCAAGCACATCGCTTCGCCAGAGGGAAATTTAAGGTTTATAATTGCCAGCCAGAGCTGATAACTAAATATAATTCTGTAATTCTGCTCTCACCTGAAGAGTGCAATGAACAAGAAATGCCCTCCGGCTCTGATAAGTCTGCCAAACAAATACAAAGTAATGAGGACAAATATACTTGTTGGTATGTGGGGTGCAAACTAGCAAAGACTGAATACTAAAATTTAATCAAAGTGTGTTTTACCTAAGTATTAGTTTAAGAGTGTACACACTTATGCACCCAAGTTGTTGCCATATTTTATTTTTTTGATCACTATTACTCTTAAAGGTTTTGGAATGATTTATCAAGACTTTTTCACTTTTTACATCAGAAAATGCAGTAATTTTGACAGGGATAGGGACGATTTTACTGTGCAAAATGGAGAATATTGGTAGGAAGTTTTATCATAAGACTTTTATATAACATTTATTAATTTGTGTTCAAAATTGTAATCAACTGATTATAATTATTCTACAAATGATTATGCTCTAAAACAGCTGCATAACATTAGCAGATATGTCATGTCAACATAACTGTTGTGTTGTTGCTACTTTTTCTTTTGTCAAAACATAATAATGTCAACTGAATTTTAATGAGCATGTGTTGAAAATGTGAGCATGAACCATGCTGTGTAGCACCATGGGAAAAGTCTTGTGCATATAACTAGCATCATTCTAAGATATACTCCAACATACTAGACAAAGAAATATAAATATTCTGACAGTAAAAAATAACAAAAAAACATACATACACACAAATATACTAAACAGGCATAAACCCAGGACAACAATGCACAGAAGGACTATAAATTGACCAATTTGACCAAATCATTGGCCTCAGGAGGGCAATGACAGCATTGGGTTCAAAGAACCGGACATTAGTTAAATATGTATTGATTATATTCCAATCACTTTGAAGCTGTGCACTGTTTTTTAAAATCCAGTGCTCCAAAGCCCAGGATGGTCTGAGATCTACATATTTTTCAGAGTTGTTGAAGCATGAACCATCTGGACTCCGAAACTTATCAGAAACCCATTTCAGGTTCTGAATTTGAGAAAATATGGACAATCCAAAATCTGAAAACCAGAGTGCTCATTTGGATCATGTTGTGCCTATTTATTTGTGTTACTTAGAATTATTTCGTAATGCATATGTTATTCTAAATGTAATTATCTTTCCCTTTTCCTTTGATTTTCTTTTTTCTTTTTTTGTTTTCTGTGTGTGTAACTTCAGTTTTGTGTGCGTGAAAGGTGCACAAATCAACCCCTTACCTTAACTAAACCCTGGCAAAGTGTCACCAAGACGCGTTGCTATCGCCTCCACCTGCTGCACTTCAGCGTCTGGTTTACCATCACAGTCAGGATTTAGGAAATGAGGGAAAGTAACAGCGGGAGTTCGTGACAAACACCACACGCGCAAAATCCCACCTCAGTGTCAGGCTATCGCTGGGAACGTTCTGTTTATACGCGCTGTTATTGACGTGGGAGAACCAAAGCGGAGACCCGCTCCGTGGACCTGAGCTCACATTCACTGAACAAATCGGGCATTGAGCGTGGACTCTATCGCACACGCCGTGTAAGCCGAGAGCGCTTTGTGTCTTTCATTCATCCCGGGTGAAGGCTGCCGCTTCCCCTCACACTTCCACCTCGTCCTCCTCCTCCTCTTCCTCTTTCCTCACGCCGGGAGAGAAGTCCTCTCCGTCTGATCTCCGCTGTGGCTTTACGGTCCGAGTTAAGTGGATGATATCAACAGAGCCCGGCGCTCCTCTCACCTCCTGCGCGGCACCGCGGACCAGATAAGTCGCCGGGGGGACAACCGGCGCGTCACGACGTAAAAGCATCGGGAAAAGGAGTCTGTTATTTTTTATTTTCTCAGAGGGCACGACGCGGTTTGAGGCGAGATATACAACAGAAATGTTTATCTGGATGAAGCGGAGTCCCCCTGAGTTCTGAGGGATTTTAAGAAACAGGTGCGGTACGGGAATACAGACAGGACAGCTGGCGGATGGTTGTCGGCTTCGAGGAGAGAAGTCTCTGCCTCTGCGCAAGGTGAGTGATGGACCGCGCTGCCCAACACTGGGGAGCACTGACCAGAGCACTGACAACAGATGAATTATAGACTAGCTTTTGTATTTGACTTTTCACATATGTCTTGTAGAAAAGCCACACACACTCAAAAAAGTTTTGTGGCATCACTTTACAGAAAGACCTTGGAAACTTTGAGCTGTTAGTATATTTAATCAATTAGAAGCGGGTAATTCTGCATGTTTAATGTGTAACTCACAGCAACATGCAATGATGATGGATCATTTTAAGGGTATTATATCCCTGAATAGATACGATTTGAACACATGACACTTCAGTGCCAGAACTATTTGAATCAAGTTAATAAACGCTGCAACTATAGTTTTACTAGTCAAGGCTGATCTTATTATACATTACGATGCCTATTAAATAGTTCAATTTAAGGTCTTAGATATGTTGATTTCTCACCAAAGTATTAGATTTGAGTAATTAGGATAAAAGCCCAAAAGAAAGTGCAATGAAAGAGAATGAATGGATGAGATGGATCACTCATTGTTGATCAGCATGGATGGTGAGGCAGTTATATGCTAAACTCTAAAAATCATCCACTTTTAAGTCAAGGTAGAAAGAAAGAATGAATTTGCTTTTTTGTCAATGAGGATGTTCTGTTAGACAGTGAGCAGGCATGACATTATAACCAGAATTGGGACCGGCTTTACACCATCCGTAAAGATGATGTAGAGATTTCATAAAGATTAACTTCTTAAACTAATGTTTCATTTGATGGTTTGGGCTGTAGGAACTGGCATTGTTCACTTCTGTTCCTTCCTTAGACCATTTATGATCAATTCTGCCCAACATTTGGGCACAGCCCACTCGAGGTGCTGTTTTTGAGATGCCTTCTAACCCAATAGTTGTTCCAGTTCGGTCGAATTGGCTGAGATCCTGACACTTTTCTAACTGTTCCTGTTTCTCACACACCAACTTTGAAGGCATAATGTTCACTATTACCAAATGATGACAAGATAATCTGTTGTTCACTGCATGTGTTTGTAATCTTAATAGAATAGAATAGATAGTATTTATTGTCATTGAACAGGATTCAACAAAATTTCTATTGCAACTCCTGTGATTGCTGATCAGCATACGTCATATCAAATGTCACACTGACAGTGAAGTGTAACATTAGGAAATTACATTTTTCTGTCAGTAAAGAACGTGATTAATAGATTTTTAAAAATGTGTTAGTCAGGTGATATTCCTAACCTTGCTTTTTGTATTTGTTCATTCATAAATTTCTTTTATTATGTAATGTAAAATGGATTTGTTTTGATACAAATCCAACCCTGACATCTGTCATTTAGGACTAATATCCATTTAGCGTCATATTGGAAGTCTGCAAAAGTTAATGCAAGATTGTACGGGAGTTACTCATCAGGTTTTTGCTAGCTAACCGATGAGTGAGTGAGTTAGTTGAGGCTGCACTCTGCTGGTCGTTGCGCATTCTTGAAACTTGAAGTTGAGTGGTTAAAGCCTTTCCTCTGCCTTCATCCCCCAAAATGCTGTGCAATTTTGTATCAGAAATATGGCGAATTATTGAAAATTATATTGTACATATTTTCTCATATTGATCACGTGCGTATCGTGATGTATGTTGTCATCGATTCATTGCCCAGCCCAACTTAGTGCTCAGGTGTTAATGCCTTTAGAAGCGCAGGAAAATTGATACCTAACAAAATGACTGAAGTAGGAGCACTCTTGAAGAGTTGTTGAACCATCTTCAACTTCTTCAACAGGATGGCAGTTGATTGAGCACTGGTGCTAAAGTCCAGGGACATGAGTTTGTTTCTTTAAGATTGACAGTGGATTGTTTGTGTCTTTGTTTGTTCTTTTGGAGGAATGTTCTATAGCAACAGGCAGTGTATCGGCTCATCCTTAGATATGTATTTTTCATTCATGGTGTGTTGTGACCTTTCTGCTGACACTGTTGTCTTTGTATGGATGCATCTTCATGTGTGTTCCCTTGTTTCCGTGTGTGAGTGTGTGTGTAAAAAAGAGCGAGAAAGAAAGAGAGCTCTAATCTCATATTGATGTGTGGGCCATTTGACATTTAATAGTATACTTTCATTAATAGCTGCATGATGACTAATTTGCAACCATTAACTGTTACAGATGCATGATATCAACATATCAAAGTGTTCCCATATAAACATCAGTAGACCTTATTTAAAGGGGTTTTTTGTGTAAATTGTTTCTCTCAGATATCACGCTTGCCTTTTTATTCAGATAATTCAGATTACTTAAGAGAAAAGTAGCATACTTGCCATTATTTCTTTCACTTGTTTTAACAGTTGTGCATTACTTTACAACACTCAATGACCTCATCTATTAATGATGTAGTTAAACAAGGATGGATAGAAACTTCACGCAGACTGTTTGCGTAGGCTATTTGGCAAGGTCATGCCCTGTTTGGATCACACCTGTGTAGATTTGTTTGTGCCAATTTTTGGACCATGTGTTTGCCTGCAGGCCAAAGCAAGTTTATTTATGTAAAAGGCACACAAAAGCCAGATATTCTGCTTTACAGAATATCTGCTGAAAACATTTAAATGGCAAAAACATTTTTTAAGAAACGAACATTTTAAAATCAGTTATTATTGACACTTCAGTAATGGTAAATGGACTGAACTTATATAGCGCTTTTCCAGTCATTTTGACCACACAAAGCACTTTACACTAGAGTCACATTCACCCATTCACACACACATTCATACACCGATACGCAGACCGGTAGGCAATTTGGGGTTAAGTGCCTTGCCCAGAGGCACATTGACATATGGCAGGAGGAAGCTGGAATCGAACCTACAACCTTATGATTGCAAGACGACAACTCTGCCACACAACCACAGTCGCCCAGTAATGAGACTCCTTGATCAAGAACTGCCATAAACAATGCTTTAAACCTAATTGAAAGGGGCAAACGTCTCAGGTTTTCTGGAAGTTTGTTCCAGAATGGAGGCACATAGAAATGAAATACTGCTTCATCTTGTTTCGTTCTGCTCCTGGGAACAGAGGAAGCTGGTCTCTGAAGAGCTGAAGGGTCCCATTGGTTCATATGTCACTTGTAACTGAATTGTAAAGCAGCTGCAAATACCTGTAAAGACACCATCACAATAATCCATCCTACTAAAAATGAAAGCATGCTCCATTCCAGTAAGTTTTCTTGTTTGTTCTGTGATCTTTAATGCCAATGATACTAGTTTTGTGCTATTCTCTACCCTCACATGTTGGGGATGATTTCTTTCTCATCTGGATTAAGCTTAAGCATGTAGTGATGCTTTGTATAACATCGGCAAAAGATGGTATGCAACTTTGCAGTCAGGCATGCTCAGTGTGCAGATAAAAAAACTCTTGCACATTTTGATACAGCTTCACTTGTCTTTACAGCGGGATCCTACCTGCAGAGAGATGTCAAAAAAGACTTCTCCTTCAGGAAGACCTCTTGTAGTTAAGGTGAACACAGTTATCAATAAAAATTCACCAATTTTCCAATGTCAAAACTCTCGTCTGTTTTTGACAGAAGCAGAAACATGTATTTATACATGAATGCATGTATAAATGCATTCATGAATAAATGAATGATCAAAATTTTAAAAAAGTGTAGTTGTAATTTGTAGCTCTCAACTAAATCGACTTTAGTAAAGTAGGAATATTGTTAATATTGTTTTATTCTCTTTTTTTCTTTTGTAAAGATAATTTTGATCCATATTTTCTTGAATTTTGTTTGGTTCAGATACATTTGAGGAAAAATATTTAATGTATCTAAAAGCGGATACCATAAATGACACTGATGAAACCATTTTTGTTGTGCACATATCCCCTGAGAAACAAAATGTATAATTGTCTGTGAGCTGCATTGTACTGCATCTATTTATATATATTGCTCTTTTACAGTCACACTATCAGACTTGAGTATGTTGGAGTTTCTTGCTTAGCATTTGATTTGTCAGTCGAGTCTTTTGTAATGAAGAACAAGCAGCTTACATCTCGTTTTTGTAATTAGGAAGAGGAAAAAATGCCATATCGGTCTTTAGTTGGTAGCACTCATGTCAATTCAGCACTAAAATCAAAGAGAGTGAGGACAGCAATATGAATGAGGAATGTTATTAAAACGTATTCGTTGTGTCACCTCAGTGGCTCTGGTATTGCAATTATATACTTTATTTATTGCACACTTCTAATTTGTGTTTTCAGCATTTATTATGAGGTCAAACTGATTCTTTGTTGGTTGTGTTGAGTGCCTCGTGAAAAGTCTGTTTGCATTTTTATCAATGTTAGTCTAATCCAGTAGAATGATATGCACTGCACTTTGCAACACAGTGTGATATTGATTATAGATTAGTTTTGTTTGGGTTTAGAGAATGCATTAACAACAATATTGACTTTAAAAGTCATTGCTTACTGTAAGTCCTCTGTTTTTGTTGTTGCAACGTTGAGTCCCGTGTACAAAGACAAAGTGTCTGTATTGTTCTATGCTGTTAGCTGGTTCACAACCTCAAATGACTGAGCAAATATCTGCAAGTGAAAAAAACAAAGATTCTTCAACCGAGCTAATTTAGAATGAACAGAAGTGAAACGGAAAAATGTTCTTTGTTCTGATGTTAAATTTGAATATTTCTTTTAAAAATAATAAACACTGTATCATGTAGAGGAAGTAATCAGTGCATTAACTCCTCAAGAAGGTTGTAAAGCACTGATCAAGGTGGTGGGTTGCCAGTTTGAACCTGTGCTCTGTCTGTCTCAGTTGTTGTGTCCTTTGGCAAGAGACTTCACTCTGCGTACCCACTGGTGGTGATCAGAGGACCTGATGCGGTAGCTCACCGCCGTCAGCATGTGAATGTGTGCATGAATTAAAGTGAATGGATCCTGAGGATGTGGTTCCCTTCAAAGAGCCGTAAGTCCCACTGCTCATTGACAGTCAACTCTGGGAGGTGGGGTTATTGCAAGGAAATGCAAATGAGTTG